GGATGCTCACCTGCATGTATGGACACGTTAAACTAATAAAAGTCAGATTTCAATATGCACTCATGTATTTCTCATCAACTCTTCCAAGATCAAATTACCTTGGGTAGTCTATGTGATGCACATTCATTTTATAGCTCTACACTCAATTATTCAGATGTTCCTCCTAGAATTCCTATGAGCAATAAGAACCAAACAGAAATTAGATGATTCTACTTGCATGAAATATAAATGAGAACTCCATTAAGTCATCTGAGCTATGAAAGAGAAGCATTTATGTGCTTCTTGTGCTTAATCCACCACCAATGCATCTGACAGATGAAAGGACAGCTAACCTGAATTTTAAGACAAGTTAAGCCGCAAAGAACTAGATTTGCATTTTCCCTAAGGAAAAATATAGCACTTGCACAGCAACAATCGAAAGTGTTAATGTTTGAAGTAAGTCTAGGTTTTAGACTTTGGTTCTGTGCACCACAACAGTTGGTTTAGAGTCCACATTTGTTTTTCTGTCAAGCATGTCAAAATATGCTAAGGGGTCATTAAATGTAACAAATCATGTAAAAAATTTAACATTTTATTAAACTTTAGTAGCCTAATTGACTTAATCTTTTAAACAACCAAGAAGATGGTGATCTACATTTTATAACGCCTGTCAATTCTATGCATTAGGTATGTTACAGTCTCTGACAGACAGCATGTTGAAGCCGCTCAGGCCACCATTTTCTCTTTTTTTTTTAGAAAGCAATGATGTAGTCAATACACCCTTTAGTGTGGGTTTTCCAGGAAATGTGTGTAGTCCCTGGACCTCTGCTTCTTGTAAATACTACCATGTATTTGACAGACAGACAAAATGTTACTTTTTTTTTTTTAAAGATTTATTTTTGGCATTTTGCCTTTATTAAAACAGGACAGATCAAAAGTGACAGGAATCGAAGTGGGAGAGAAATGGGGGGCGGGATCAGGAAAGGTCCTCGAGTCAGGATTCGACTCGGGACACCCGTCGGCGTGCTGCCCACAAGGCTATCAGCGGCCGACAACAAAATATTACATTTAGTAACTAATTTGTTGACTTTTGTTTTAAACCAAGTTCATTTTTTACCAGGAAAGGAGTAATTTTGATGAACAAAATAGTTTTTATTGTCTCTTATAACAAAAATCTTTTCAAACCCATGAAAATACAGATCCTGTTGTAAATAAGTGAAAAATTACTTTTTAAGTTAAATTAAAACATTATTACCCCTTAGCAGCTTTTGACTCATATTTGAGAATCAATACAACACAGCACTGTTTTTGCAGTCAACTAGGGCTGCACGATTAATCAATTTGCTCTGTGTAGTAAATGCTGCTCCATCTGAAAGCACGTGCTGGAGAATTACTACTAATCACAGAACCAGCTTTACTGACAAGATGCACATGACAATCGCATTCGACTAATCGTGCAGCCCTACAGTCAACTAAATTCTATAAAAGATTCAATAAAAGAAAACAACACAATCAAAATTCAATATGCAAATAGATGCAGGAAAGAAAACCAATTGCTATTCAGTATGCAAATAGTAATTGACATCCATGTTGTCATTTACATTGTAACCACTTTACAAAATCCAAAACTGGCACACTTAACACTGTGTCCTAACCAACTTCCTACTTGTAAACTTATCACATCCCACCAGGTTAGGATACAGAATAAGGCTGAACCTATAAAGGTTTTATACTTCAGTTAAAGGTTTAAAACAAACCCTAACCAAAACGCTTGAGGTATATCAATGCTGCACAGCAGTGAGATGGCTGTCGCTCTTTGGTTAAAGGATTGATAAGAGTTGAAGACGTAGAAAGTTTTAAAGAGGGCGGAAAAACCCTTTGAATGAGCCCAGGGTCACGAAAAAGGCTGATCTCAGAGCCCACACAAAATAAAATCCCTCTCTGTAGCCTTCATTTTATCAGGCACAGTGGTGGGTGATAAGACAGCATGGCTGGCCTCCAGGAGTCCTCCGACCTTCACTAACGGCACCGTATGACCACCTCAGCGCTGAGTGGCAGAGGAGGACAGAGAGAGAGAGAGAGAAACAGGGAGGCGAGAGAGTCAAAGACAATCTCTTACACGCCGTGAGACAAACAGACGGAGACACAGAACAGATTTTCCATCTGTTCTGCGGCAACATCTGATTCCCCATTTACGACTGCAGCATATTTTCATGTCCAGCGAGCAAGATTGCGCCTATCAAACAATTTTCAGTTTTGTAGCATCTGGAACTTCAGTCATTTCAAATATATAATCTACATTACAAAAGAGACCACAGAAACAGCTCCTAGACAGTCGGGCCGTAATGATGTATAAACCATGTGAGACAAAGGTAACTCGAGGACAGTCGGGGGAACTTTTTTTTGTCAACACACTCAGAGAAAAACGCTCTCCTGCGCTCCACTCTACAGACACTCATAAACAATGGAAGTGGAAGAGACAGTGGGTCTTACAGGCGACCAATCACTAAAGCCACCAGAACAAAGGCTTGAGACGGAACTCTGAATGCACGGCGGAAGAAAAAAGGAGGGGTGCGAGGAAAGGGCACTCATTCAAAGGCCAGCAATTTTAGTCCCTCTTGCATGCTCAATGTGGTGTCAGAGGGGAAGACAGAGAGAGGTTTCTTGTGAAGGTGTGAGTTTCATTCTACGCTCTCTTTTGGACAATGCAGACTCTGAGGTCTTTTGTTCTTGGAAACCTGTTGGCATAGAAGCACATTGTTCGGCGGGGAGAAAAAAGGAATACAAGGAAACTACATTATCACGCCTTTGTGCGGGAGTTGCTCTTTGCCGCCGCTCTGACATTTGTTGCTTCTGACAGTAATATAAGGCCAAAGGGAGCCAATAAGGAAAGTATCTACTTCCATTTGTCGTGCTTCCCTGATCCCAAACTGAATTAAGCACTCGGCAATAATGTTTTAAACTCCCCTCAAAGACTCTAAAACAAGATGGATGCCATCAGATCCCCAATGAAAAGGGGTCTCCATGACAACTGCGAGAAACCTTCACCTCACCCCTGAAGATCCCCTCTGAGAACTAATACACAAACCTTTGACACGTACCAACAAGATTAATGTGCTACCAAAAGTCTTGCGCACATGGTAATAACCCTCCGCTCATCCTGAGGTAGTGTTGTCAAAAGACCCGGTATTTCGGTACCACGAAATTGGTACCGAGAACCGTGGATTTTCACTGGTATTGGTACCGAATACTGAAATTTTGGTACCGTGACAACACTATCCTGAGGTGTAAAACGCCTTATCCTATGAAGAAATTAATAGAGGCGAACCCCAGAGTGTGCCCACGCAAGTTGAGCGGCACTGGGATCTTGGCATGACTAATTGTGGTGCCACAATTCATCCATCCAAAACTCATTTATCCAACGGCCAAGATGCTCGTCTTATTTCTTGTGAAATATGTGCACAGGGATCGGGATTCATTTACAGCCACCCGGTGCCAGTATCACGTCGAGTTTCCCTGCCCATGCACCCGAAAAGCTGATGTTTTATGTGACTAGCATGCAATAAAACACTCTGAATTGTAGTTAACAAGTATGCAGGCATACTGGTCTGAAACTGGTTTGAAACCTCTCAGACCAGTTGTCAGGTGTGCTGAACACTGTCCCAACAAGTGGATAATCAGCAATGAAACGGTGAAAGTGCAAAAGAGTGACACATTAGGAAAAGTCTAAAAATTGCTCTGCATATCTCATTTACATTTTTTTGCATTTAAGTGCTGTTCACACTAAGGAACATAACTATGAAGTTTTAATAATTGCTCTAATTCTATGAAAATAGAAAAGTCCACACCCCAGCTATGATGATAACGACACAGAGGATCGATAACGTTGGAATCACTTTCAGAATGATTTTTTTAGCTGATGAACGATAAAGACACTGACAGCCAATCACGATCCATCGATCACTAAAAAGCTTGAGAATTTAAAGAGGTAGATGACAACATTGCAGCATGCGATTATAATAATCAGAATGTTCCCTTCCATTGGTGAGGACGATAATATAGTTATTATAGTTAAATTTGTAGTTACCGTTCTTGATGTGAATTGGTCTTTATGCTGTACTTTTCAATTTTTTGGCGCAAATTAAGTCTTCCGTATGTTGTTTGTTGACAATGGGCACAACTTTGTACAAAAATGTTTTTGGAATCATAGCTACAATCATGAAAAACAATGCCATTAGTTGCCAACACATGTAACCCGAGTCTTTAAATGCATGCAGAGCTTCAGTCCTGCAGTGTAGCCTCGGCTTACACTGAACCACAGACATGTCTCTGCTTATCAGAGGAAAGCAGCCCCTCTGAGACGCCATCAAATCACTGTGATGTTTAAACCACCAGGGAAGAAATGTCTAGGACCATCACCACTAGCAAGACTAGTGTAGCAAATAAGGGGAACAGTAACTTAAAATGCAATTTTATAACAGTGGTATCTCAAAATAGCAGAAGACTTGAATAAAATTCAGACATCATTGCATTTTGAAGAGTTACAGTCAGCTGCACAGACCTGTCATAAAGCTCTAAGTGTTAACAACTAAACCCTGTTGCATTTCTCGCCTCCTATATATATATATAGTACAAAAGCTATAATAGATATAAAAGTTTCAAATTGTAAAGTAGGTGATTATGTAAGACAATACAATTACACCTGCTGCCTTCCAGCCTAAGAAAAAACTGATCACGACAGGCCACACCTTGCGTAACATGGCGTACGAGGCAAGGGATACGGGTTACGGTCAGTGGCTCTTATTAAGTTGACCAGGATAACCTAGATAAGCAGGTAAGCTGTAGAAATCAGCGCGCACAAGCGTAACGCACGCATGCAACTTGCGTATCAATACACTTGGGACGGGCGACTTCAGGTTCAGCGCTCACTAAAGGTAAGCATCATGCAAATTACCTCTAATAACAAAAGAGACCGAGTGAGCAGTAAAGAGATTAACCCACAAGTTACTGTGTCACATTACCTTGGCTGGACAGAAGACACGCGCAGAGAATCAGGCAACAGTCTATCATCGTGAAGTCGCTCATTCCGCTCTCGGCCGCGGGAGGTTAAACAAATCCTGGAAACTTTAGCATAAAATTTCGTTCACTTTGCGAAGCGAACCGGAGGCGGTGTGTTGAGGCTCGTCAGCTCGCAATTTCAGTCCGCCCCAACTGCTAGTAAAGCCCGGAGTGTGCTCAGGTATGTTATTGTGCGGAACGCTGTTGAGTCCTCCGCCTTGCGACTCGCTCACTTCTGTTCTATCTGGAGCTTGAGAGCGCGACCGATGGAATTGCTCGTGATGTCATCGTCGCGTCACGCCGTGGAGAGAATGGAACGGCTTTGAAGTTTAGAACTTGTGGATTGGGCGGACGCGATACGCTATTTGCGCGTGAAGTCCAGATATTCTGGTTTTACGCGTTAAGAGAACTGTTTTGTGCGAGATTGTAAGCAGTATGTGAAATGAACCGGGGATTTAGGCAAAATGCCCCCTTGTAAATCCCCCTGGTTTGTACCTAACGTTTGGTGCTGTGTGATATATAACATTCTACATTAAATAAGCTAAGACCGTACAATTACACCTGCCGCCTCTAAATAGTGAATATAGTAGCCTTAAATCTAATGACAGTAGCCTACGTTTGATGGTGTATAATGCATAGCATTCTATAGCATTACTTTGAATCAGAACTGTCACAATCCACTTTAATATCTAATTAGATTCGCCATTTCCGTGAATCTAATTGGATATTAAAGTATATTGTGACAGTACGGTTGATGTTTGACTCAAAATTGTCCCAATAGACTTTCGTGTCTATGTAGATGCACTATTTCAGTGAATCTAATGAGATATTATAGCCTATTGCGACAGTAAACAACTGTATAATCTACCAGAGAACGGCCGATTATGTAAAATACATTCTAGCAAAGCGTTTTCCTGCAATCGTTGTTCCAGTTGAGAATTTATTTAAATTAATTGCATCATATTAATGGCATAATGTACGCCACACCGTTTATATGTGGTTCAAAAATATGCCCTCACAAATGGTGAATGGTAAATGCTTCTGAAATTCAATTCCGGGGAGCGACTATTATATTAAACAATAAACAACAACTTAATTTCCCACGCTGGCGAAATTGTCAGACAATATCAATCAGAAGACTTGGCTTTTTGCATGTTCTGCTCGTTTTTCTGAAGCTGAACTTGTACGCTAATCTGTTTTAACTGCATATTGCCTGACTTGCTTCATACTTACACGGATGCACATAACTACAGTTGATCGACTGTCAAAACAATGCGATTTATTCAAATAAGGAGGTATGAAGAACAGGGTTGATGAATTCAGAGCTCTTCTCCTCTGGGAATGGCCTGCATACTAATCAGTGACCTCGCTCTGCCATCTATTGACTGATCTGCGCAATTACGCGCTCACGTTCATTAGCATGCAGAGCGCAAGAGTTCTGTCAAATGAAATACAGCGTCCTCTCGGTTATGCATAAACGGCTGCTTGCGTATACGTTTCTAGTTTAAACTAGAAGTTCGACAAGGCAAACTTTGATGTTGGCTGACAAAGTATTGCCAGACAGTTAAAAAAAGCTGCGAAGTTTGAAGGTTGCACAGGCTGTGTGCGCTTTGAACGCTTCACCCAAAGTTTTCTTTTCTGACCAGATGTACTTTCTGTTGAAACGTTCTCATTTTAGAAGAGCATCTGACTGGACAAAGATCTGTGTAGTGCAACATGATTCATCAATAGCCTACTTTTGATTTTCCAGAAGATAGACTGCACATTTTAAAGGGGTCATATGATGCGATTTCAATTTTTCCTTTCTCTTTGGAGTGTTACAAGCTCTTGGTGCATAAAGAAGAAATGTAAAGTTGCAAAGACTAAAGTCTCAAATCCAAAGAGATATTCTTTATAAACGCGAGTTTTGAGCAGTGTAGAGTAGCACTTGTTGTTTGTCGTTTCTCCGATCACAAATGCAGACATGGTTTTATGTTTACGCGGCGCGATGCAACGCAACGCGTAAAAAGACAGTACAAGTCATTATAATCAGTAATTATGTCCCCACTGGATGCAACAAATGCCTTGTTTATAATGGGTTTTACTGGTTTTGTCTCGTCGCGCCGTGACATGGCATCACAGTGTGGTAAGGGGGTAACTTTTCAGTCACACGCTTGAGGCATTCGGCCAATCACAATGCACTGGATAGCTGGCCAATCAGAGCACACCTTGCTTTTCAGATCAATGAGCTTTGTAAAAATCGACGCGTTTCAGAAAGGCGGGGCATAGAGGAGAAACAATAATGTACAGTATGTGGAAAATAATGTGGTTTTGGAACCTTAAACCGCATAAAAACATTGCATTACACCAAAAACACAAAATAATGTTCTTTTTAGCAACATCATATGACCCCTTTAAATGCATATCTGCTAAATGTTCATTTTGTTAACTGCTAAGTGTTCATTAGCATATAGATGTGGACTAAAAGCCACAACATTTTGAATAAAGATGGTCTTTTAAGACCTAAAAAGCAGGAATAATTTAAATAGAAAGTCCTTTACCAAATATATCTGCAATGTTCAGTCCTACCTGCATCTGGAGATCTATCCTTCTGAAGAGTTCAGTTCCAGCACACCTGCTGTAATTTTCATGTAAACCCAAAGACCTTGATTAGCAGCTGCAGGTGTTTGATTAGAGTTGGACCAGACAACTCAGAACTTGGAATTCTCCCATCTCATACTTGAAAATAACCACTGGAACTGGACTTCAGTAGGTATGTTTACATGGACTAATTTTCTTCAGTCTGAAAAACATCCAGTCTGATTTCAGATTCTGAAAGATCTCATCATCTGATTATATGAAACCTAAATTTGCAGTCTGATTCACATATTTACAAATGCACAGCATTACATATGCATATATTACGTGTCTTCAGAACAAAACTTCAGCACATGCGCAGCGCCTAATCACCGCATTCATAACTAGAGAAAGCCACTGTGATGTCACTGGAGCTACCGTGAGAATAATGTTTGCTTCATTTTACCCTTGATGACGTCTTAAAAGAAAGCTAACATATGTCAGAAGAGCTTTTTAGCAAACATTTAGTTCAATCATGACAACTCTCAGAAGATTTTAGCGTGGTAATGGTTATGACATTGTTAATGTATTTGGTCTTGGTGGAATAGATCTGCTACGCTGCTGCTGTTGATTATTGCTGTAGTAGATTATTGCTGCTGCTGCAAGCAAGTATAGGAACTTGCTACTGCCAATGCATACGGTGATACAGTGCTGTGAGTATTCAACACATTACGCTGCTGCACAAATAGCATATAAAATAGCCCATAGCAGATCTATACAGGTGGAGCTGGGGAAGGTGGTGGGTTTCAGAGGAACTCTGAAAGCGCGCTGCAAAAGGCTCAAGTGGGTTCTAACAAGCCATTTAAATGTAAAGCAGCAAGCTCATTGGCTGCATATGCAACATGAACCAATCAGCTTGTGCCAAGTCGTTTAACGCTGTGAATATCATTAGTTACGTTAATACCCGTCAGTCTGCGTCATCTAGAGTTTCATGACTGAACTACACATTTAAATATCCAGTCACTGACCAGATGTAAATAAACATATATCGTAAGACAAACGTATGTAAACAGACATCATGGCAATGCACATGCGCACAAGGAGTTTTCAATCCGATTAAGGAAATTGTTAGATTCAAGTGTTTACATGCTTAATTTTTTTCATGTTGATTGGATTATTTCTGGTCATCACCACTTTCAATCTGATTGAAATTTCATTCAGGTGGATTAAGGTGTTTACATGAAGGCTTATTTAGTCCTATTGTGCCATTAATCCGATTATAAATGTATTCTTTGGCTGTGAGAAGTGTGATTTGACAACATTGCCAATATGGCGACTAAAGTGACGTCACTTTGGTTCTTTTTTAAGTGTTGGTGGGAGAAATCCAACAGCTTTTGGAAAAAATAATTGTCATTTTAATGTAATATTTTCAAGTGTTGGGAGAAATCCAACAGCTTTCTATTTTGAATGCAATATTTTCAAATGTTGGTGGGAGAAGTCCAACAGTTTTCTGAAAAAAACCCAATGGTATTTTGAATGTAATATTTGTTATTTGTGATTTATTCCAAGAACCCTTGAGCATATCCTGTTGCTGCCCATATTCAATGTCAGGTGAAAGGTAATTATGCATGCTCAAAGTCTACATTTATATGTTATGCATATACGTTTATAGTATAATACCCCAAGAAATCCTTGAAAAGCACAGTTTTGCCCTTTTCTATGTTGATGTATTTCCTGTTGAATCATCCTCATTTTATAGAGCATTTGATTCTCCAAGTTTTGGAGAATTCCAACGGTGTTCAGAAAAAGTGGCATTTTGAATGTAATAATATTCGTTATTTGTGATTTATTGAGCCCTAGAGTGTTGTTGTCATCCATATTCATTTTAAGGTCAAAGGTAATTCAAAGGTATGGCACCACACAAAACATTAAATTGGGCCATTGAAAAACAGCATATTAAAAATTATTTTAAGTAGATGGATAATTATGGTAGGGCTACTCATGCAATTATACCTCAATTCTACATCTCAACACAAATAATCATTTTCTTCTAGAAATTACCGCTATTAAAATCCTCGGGGACGCCATTAGCAGCGATTCAAGGAGTGTCCATTTACTGAATGTGCCTTTAGTTCAAATGTAACTGCTGGGCTATTAAAGGGGTCATATGATGCGATTTCAATTTTTCCTTTCTCTTTGGAGTGTTACAAGCTCTTGGTGCATACAGAAGATCTGTAAAGTTGCAAAGACTAAAGTCTCAAATCCAAAGAGATATTCTTTATAAAAGTTAAGAGTCAGCCACGCCTACCTAAAACGGCTCGTTCTAACACGCCCCCACATGTCTACGTCACGATGTGGGAAGATTTGCATAACGCCGCCCAAATGTTCACGCAAAGAAAGAAGGCGTAACTTTAATTCTTGCTGTTGCCGCCGCTGCCATGTTGTGGAGTCGCTGTGTGTTTTGTTGTGAAAGCGAAACTACTTTGTTTGGCCTTCCAAAAGAGGACACAACTAGAAATCAGTGGTTAAGTTGTATTTACAACACTGTTCCAGAACAGTTCAACCCAAATATTCAGATGTGTGCAACGCATTTTACGGAGGACGAGGACTGTTTCCTGAACCAGTAGCCTACAATGCGTCTGTGGCACAAAGGCTGTTTCTATAAAGTGGGGCAGTTCCAACTTTGCAAGGACAGTCTGGCGTTTCTGACTCACAGCCTGT